AACTAAAATCAGAAATAAGAAAGGAAAGAATAGAGTTTCAATTGCTGAAAACTTTGTGGTTCCTTGTTGAGTTGTACACGAGTTCAGAAAATCAGAAACGAAGGAGAAGAAATTGATTTAAGTTGAATAAGAAATAGAAGAAGTAGTCAATGAGAACTAACCGTTGGGCGTTGGCTTATGATGAAGTGGACGACCTCCGGTTTAGATTTTCTATAGAAATCGTTTCATGAAGTCTGGAGAGTTGATGACGTCTTGATAGTTGGATGCGCACGCGGGTCGCTCTTGCTCTCGCTCCCTCTTTTGTATTGGGACCTGATAAGAGTGTTGGGTCAAAATAAGTCCACTAGACTATAAATTAATGGGCCAACACTATATACTATATGCCCCAATATAACAAGAATAAACGAGGGCTTTTGGCGTAATGGCATTTGGGGTCCCAATTTGCTCAGCTCAAAAAGCCAGCCGACCTTGTAATCGTTGCCTCTACGAAAAAATAATAACTCTTGCGGAAAAATACGTTAAAACTAAATTCTTGTACAAGAGAATTTAGATTATTGACATTTACTCTTTTAAAAATTCTTGTACATGAAATTTGCTGTGTTATTATTTTTTAATGCAAATCTTCGATCGAGAAAAAAAAAAAAAAAAAGGTAAGAATTTATAGAAAAGAAAAGTGAAAAAGGAGAAAGCAGCATTCAAGAACATCCCCAAATCACTTCCACTATGGCTGAAAAAGAAAAAGAGCAAAGACAAATCTTGACTCATAATTTAATTTGCAGACTGATTGGGACATAAGAGCGCGCTTCTCGTTCCAAAGGAAACCCCTTTTTTCTCTAATTTCCATCAGTGATCCTCTTCACTCACATTTTACTTCTTCTTCTATGGGTTTTGTAGAAGACGAACTGCTATGACTTATGAGCTACAATAAGTTTCAGACATTCGTTACTGATTTCGTGAGTTGGGTTTTCGTTTTACATGGAGAAGAGAGTATACGAAGTCTGGAAAGGGAGAAATGTAAGATTTTGAACTTCTACTTTGACTTTTTATCATCTGGGTCGGCTTCAGATTCGCAGCTTATTATTACTCTAATATAGATGTTTCTTTGATTTATCATGTAGCGTTGCTTGGTTTGTGATTATTATACCTGAATTTGGGTTCTTTTTTTATTGGATGTTCGGTTCGTGTTGTTTTTTCAGCTTCTTTCGTTATTCTGTTAATTGAATTGTATTATAGAACCTTCTTTAACTAGATTATATTTGATTTGGACTATATATTTATATATTAATATGAAATGCAGATGTATATGTATGTCTGGAGTAGGTAGGGGCACTTCAAAAATAAGTTTTGTGACATACCTACAGAACAAATATTCGGTATAAAGAACTTCTATTGAGGTTAAATTGTGCTTAATCATTGTTTATTTTGGCCCTTCGTCTGATATAAAAACCTAAGCTTGCGAGTAGAGTTTGTTAGTGGTTTTTGGTATCTCTTAACCTTTCTTGATGAAATTTTCTTTGAAACTTGTTGATAAATTTACAATTTTGTTCATCCAAGTGTTTTCATTTAATACAAACCCACTTGATTTTGGTCAGTTGTTGGTACATCTTCATTTTCTTTATCTAACTCGGTAACTCCAAATCTTTTGCAACAGTTTATTGTTTGTATTAGTTTTGTGTAACTTCATGCTACAGTTCTACTGACTTCATATGAGTTTCTTCATGTAAGTTGTTTCTTTCTTTATTACTCATGTTAACCTTTTTCATTTTTTTGGTTTATTCAGAAGTTCCTTCTTGGAGGAAGGTTGATCTTTGGTCCAGATGCTAGGTCTATACTTGTTTCTGCATCAATGATCATGGTTCCTGTTGTTATTTTCTGCAATTTCATTGGAAGACATCTTCTCCATGAGTTTCCTTCATATAATGCAGGGTATATGATTGTTGTGGCACCATTTCTGTTCACAATCTATGTTAGTTCTCTTGATCCCCAACTACACAATTATTCGTGTTATTATTATTATGCATTTCATACATCAGTAAAAATTCATTAATTCGGGTTATATCTTATTGATAACGGGTCAAGTGGGTTCATTAAAAACTAGTACAGTGTCCTACTAAGAAAAATTAAAATTACAATGTATAATTGATTTTTTCTTTTCCTTGTCTCAATATTCTTCCAAGCCAAAAATTACCTACTTATCACTAACATCGATTTCCATCAACAAGATTCCTTTTATTTCATCATATTATTGAATAGTACTTTTTTACTTTGTAGTTTGTACATGAAACATTAAAATTATTCTTTCGTTATGGTTTATAGCTGATGATGATTATTTAGTTTATGATGCTAGGTATTGGTACTTCTTCTTCTTACTTCATCTCGAGACCCTGGAATCGTTCCTCGTAACTTACATCCACCTGAAGAAGAACTCCGGTATGAAAGTTCGGTATCAAACGATAAAACTCCGAGCTTACAGTTTCCTCGTACAAAAGAAGTTATTGTGAACGGAGTGTCGGTTAGAGTCAAATACTGTGACACGTGCATGCTTTATCGACCTCCTCGTTGCTCTCATTGTTCCGTTTGTAACAATTGTGTCGAGCGCTTCGATCACCATTGTCCGTGGGTTGGCCAATGCATCGGATTGGTATACCTTTTCTTTATTTATTTATCGCAATTTATAGTGTATTTGTTGTTTGTATTTAATCAATTCGACTCCAATTTCAAATTTTGTTTTTTGTTTTATTGCAGCGTAATTACCGATTCTTCTTTTTATTCGTTTCTTCCTCGACGCTTCTTTGTATCTATGTATTTTGTATGTCGGCTTTTTACATCAAGGTTTTGATGAGGGATTATGGTGGCTCGATTTGGAGCGGGATGAGAGAATCTCCTCTCGCGGTGGTGTTGATGGCTTATTGTTTTATTGCACTCTGGTTCGTTGGTGGGCTTACGGGTTTTCATCTTTATCTCATTAGCTCAAACCAGGTTAGTATATTTATTAGTCATTAGAGTCTCACTTTGACTTTTTAAATTCAAACCCATACGTCTTTTCTAACATAGATTTCTTGTAGTTTCTAAGTCTGGAACTTTTGTGTACAAGAATGCTCATAATGTAGCTATTTTGATTTTCTCACGTCGCGTTAGTTTTGAAGTCAAAATTATGAGTTTCTGACTCTTAAAAGTCAACTATAGAATAAGGTGCTGTTTCTTTTTGACTTAATGGAAATAACAAGGACAAGGCGCAATCCAGTTAGCTATATATGAATGATTCTTTTTTTCATTTAATGCAGAAAGATTGACTTAATAGAAAAAGTGATAATTGAACTTTTGTGCTTTTTGCAGACTACCTATGAAAACTTCCGGTATCGAGCTGACAACAGGATCAATATTTATGATCAAGGTTGTGCAGGAAATTTCAAAGAAGTATTCTGCACAAAGATAAAGCCTTCAAGAAACAAGTTCCGGGCTTTCATGGAAGAAGTCCACCGGCCGCCACCTCCGGCCACCTCTCGGGAATCCGGTGGTGAGGAATCCGGCCCAGAAGACCGCCGTTTGAAGGTTGAAGATGATATGGATTTAGGTGGAGACCTTTTGAAAATCTCTCAGCGCCACAACATCAAAGACATAAACTCCCGCCACCATAATTCTTCAGAGTTTGATTCTGTTTTAGGTTCAGAGAGCCATGAAGTCCTTGCTATGAACTTGAATGTAGATGAGAGTAGAAGCTATGCTGCAGAAAGGCAAGGGTACCAATGACATTTCACAATCTGGCATAACCCCGTTGATTAGAGAAAATCGGACCTTGGTTGTTTTTTTTTTCCTTGATATGCAAGGATATTTTGGTCATTTTCTGTGTAATGTTAGTTCGACTGATTATGGCGAGCTTTGGAGGAACAGAGATTACAAGTTTTTACTCGAACTTTATGGGGTCGAATTTGATGAATTTATGTAATGGTGTGTTATTATGGATTTAGCTTAGAGTGTAATTGAAACAAAATTGAGACGTTTTGGTTATGATGTGTTAGGTTTAAATATGATTATAGGAATTGTATTATTGTATGGACAAAACGATTTAGAAGCTTGTATGAAAAAAAATTCACATTGGGATAAAAGATCATTACGCTGGAAGGTATATCCTTATTTCACATTCCACTTTTCTTCACATTGGGATAAAAGAGTAATGGCTTTTGGAATCAAACATTGAAAACGTAGTGGATTTTGTGAAAATTTAGCTTAATAAATCAAGCATAGTAATAAAAGGCTATACTAGAGACCCCAATGAATCAAGTTTCTTGAGTTAGTTTCACTTGTGTAATGAAGGGTTGAACATAGGTTGATTCATTGAAACTTTAGCATGTAATCAAAACAAAATAAACTTTATATATACTTAAATAAGCTACAAACACAAATAATTGTTCAAAATTAGGAAAAGAAAAACACAAATATAAATCATCAATTGCTCACTTCTAATCTGGTCTATTTTCACTTTTAGTTGGCCTCATCACCAGGGAAAAGGAAAATTAAATAAGTCAATTAGGCTTTACAAATTACAAGTGAGTGGGTATTATTATTAGGCATGTTTAAAAACTAGGTTTTATTATTATATATCATATATAAGATAATTAAATATTAATCTTATTAAAATAAAAACAACTACCATATTTTTATTGGCATTTTAGTCAAAAAAATTCATTGCTACCCTAACCCTTTTAACTAAATAGGCCGATGTAATTAATTAATCGGATTAAAAATCTTAACTTGTTAGCCTAATTTTGAGTTTAATTTAGGTTGGGTTGTCTATCATGATCTAATTTCTTAAACAAAATGATTTAAGATTTTATATGTATGTAGAAACAATTGGCGCGAACCATTCAATCCAGATAAAATCAACCAAAATCAATCTTTTTGTTAGTTACTTGGTTTTATATAGCGTAAAGCGCTTTGGGTTTTGGGAGTAAAAGCCATATCCTGCATATTGGATAAGACATCAATTTCAAAAGTCAAAAATCAATTTCAAAAGTTAAAAGCAACATCAGGGTGATAAAAAAAGACAGAACTTAAGTTCTAAATTCCTAATCCTTAATCATAAAAACTAAAAATACGCGAAACGGTCATCATCATCGTCAACTTGGACAACATCATCCCTTCCACAATCACTTCTCATATCCTCTTCCATCTCTTCATCCACCAAACAAAATCCAGATCGTTGACTAGATTATGGAGCTTTTCCCTTATCAATACCCGATGGGTCGGCTACATCATTTTGCACTCTCGATCTAGTTAGATAACTAGGTTCATAAGCAGCTGATGCGTGAGCCACATCTCTCCAAGATCTTCACCAACAAATACTATGTCATCATCATTCTCCTCTTCAAGTCTTCCCATCAACCACTCGTTACTTTCATCAATCTCTTGTAAAAGAATAGGATCGTTCTCCTTATCTTTAACTCGGCGGTCTAAGGCACAATTGAATTTGACAAACACCATGTCATTTAATCTAGACTGTGCAATCTATTTCGTCTCTTCGTATGAAACTACAAGAACGAAAGTAATTAAAGTAAGAAAAATCATGAAATAACTAAAATAAGAAAAAAAAAACATATTATCATTTAGGAAAACAATTTTTTTTAAATAGATAGAAAAAAACTTACGTGTTGAAAAACACTCCAGTTTCTCTCACAACTTGTAGCACTATAAGGACCCGTATGACAAACTTTTTAAGATTAGGCGCCGAAGATCCATATGATGCCCACCAATCAGCTAATAATAAAAAGTTAAAAATAAACTAAGAAAATCAAAATAGAAACTACCAAAAAAAGTTGGTTAAGAACTTATAATATCATTTTGTTACCTGGTGCTTTTGTTTTTCTATGCTTAATAGCCATAGGATGACCGAATAGTCCTTCTGCATTCCGATATTTATCTAACTCTGCAGAAATTTTGTCTTGAACTTCCTGATCTGGAACAAGTCTCATACTGCAACCATATAACCCTTGTTCCACTTCTTCACAAGCCACCCCAACAACATCCTTATAAAATATCATCGGGTTCAAATAATGTCCTGCTGCATGTAGAGGTTTATGCAGTTGACATTCCTACCTTTGATCAATGATTTGAAAAGTTGTCTTGTAGTCATCCGCATTGGAAAAACTATCACGAATAGCTTCTTTAGCCATATCCACAACATCATAAATATAGCCCATTGCTGGATACTTTTCTCCATCAACTAACCTAAGAACTTCGACTAAAGGGCCAATTAACTTGAGAGCATACAAAACATTCCTCCAAAATGAATCTTGCATAAAGTAGGTTTTTACTTTTTTTGCAATCTAATCTTTGCTGGACCACTTTGCCTTTTCCCACTCTATAGAAATCACCATATTCTTCAGGTTGTGTCTTTGTCTGTGGACTTGGGCAAGTGTGATAAAAGATGTGGCAAATCTAGTTACAGTTGGCCTATGCAAGTTTCTTTCTTTGGTGAACTTTCTCATATATATATATATATATATATATATATATATATATATATATATATATATATATATATATATATATATATATATATATATATAAAAGTAGGTTCAATGGAAAATGAATAATTAGGGCAACATATGCTGGAACCAATTTTCAAGTGATACGTGTCCATTTTTTTTATTCATAAGCAATGTACTATGGAAGTTATTTATGTAGTTACTCCAAAGTGATGTGTTGTCATGCTTTTATTGGTTCTAACATGTATCGCCCTAATTATTTATTTTCCGTATAACCAATATATATATATATATATATATATATATATATATATATATATATATATATATATATATATATAGCCAATTGCTAACATAGCCTTCTTTATTGCAGTTTTCACCTTAGGAACCTTTTTTCCAATGTCCTTCAACATCAAATCCAAGCAATGAGTAGCACATGGTGTCCAATAAAGATGCTCTCTTTTGGCTTCCAACAACTTCCCTACAAAGTTTATAGACAGAAAATTAGAATTTAGAAATTATAAGACATTAACAAACGCAACATAATATTAACATGCATATACAAGTTACAACTCTTACTTGCCTTTACATATGCTGAAACATGATCAGTTACAACTTGTACTACTTTTTTTTTCTCCAAAACACTGCTTTTTAAAACCAAGGTTAGTTAATCGATCGAAATTGTCTCCTCTAATTCTGTGGACAAGAATTGGCATAATGATTTCATACTTAATAACATGAGTGTATATGTTGATGCACAACACAAGGCTGCCGTGAAAAAAGTAAGAACGATGAAATAGAGTTGAGTGTTGTACAATTGTACTTAGAAAATATAGAAATGTGTAGATTGATAGATAATGTTTGTTACTTTGAAGTTTGGTCAACTGTAAAGTTACAGAAGAGTATCATGGTCATCATTTGATCAATGCAAATTTAGTAACGAGCAATTAATACACATCATCGAATTCTATAATATGATTCACCAAAACAACATAAATACACTAACTTGGGTCGGGAAATTCAGCCACAATGCATAAATTAGGCCTTTGTTCCAATAGTTGATGTATGAGATTGAGACAGCAAAAAAAGACAATTAACTAGTAAGAAAATTTTACATACAAAAAAAGGGTGGCAAATTTACATAATATACCTCACACTAAAACTTCTTTGGGTCCCTCCATCATCTAGTGCTAGACCTTTTATATTCGATATGTCCTATCGATTTGAATAATATTTAAATTTTTATTAGATTTGATGAATTTTGAAACAATAAGTAATAAACTAATTTAGGAAGGAAAGAGTAACAAAAAATCACATGTACAAGATGTCTTAGGAACCTCAAATGTCCTGAAATAAGAGCTTCTATAAAATGCTCAACCGCCACCTGCCTTCGTTACATGACATGTGTGAGCAGGGATAGAGAAAAAACATTTAGTTAGGGCAAATTTGTGTACTTGTGTGAGATGCTCACAGTCATGTAAAATCATGACCTCCAAATTATTTACACCACCGGTCACAAGTTCGCTGTATTTGTAATAAAAAGTTTTTTCTATCAAGATCTCATCAATATAATCTAATACGAGAAGTTATACAGGATCCTTACTTTAGAAAGGTGTCAGTTAGTTGCGTTACAGACATTTAGCAGAGTATGGATGACGACCACTGACTCTTCTAGTCAGTCCAGTGGAACGCTAGCAGTCTCGCAACATATAGGTGTTTGTGAGCGATGTGTTCACCGGTGTACTCCATCCCCCTCATGGTTGCCTTAAGGACATTTATTGCTGAGGAATCCCCTTAGCATTAGTGTCCATCCCGATGTTGATCCTTACTCTAGGTCCCTTATGATAGGTGTTTTAGGGACGTAATGTGAGGATAACGGGAACGAGTAATCGGGTTATTGTTGGTTGATGAAATTAATAAACTTACTTATTGTGGGTTGATAACCCTATATGCTCACCAGGCTCCCAAGCCTGACCCACTCAGTTTCTTGTATTAGAGGTAGTGACGCACAAGCATAGATATGATGTTTGGGATGAGAGATTACGGATATAGGCCTGTAGACATGAATAAATGTAGTAAGACTTATATTGTATTGTTTATTCTTTTGATCTATATCGAACATGACATCCCGATGTTTTTAATGAAATACATTTCTACGGAAATGCTTTGATAAATCTTTATCATATTTTATTATGGGAACAAATTCCGCAATACTTTTATTTAAAATGTTACTCTGATTTTTAAACAAAGCATAAATAAATCGATCTTTTCTGGCCGTGAAAATGGGGATGTTACAGTTGGTATTAGAGCATTAGTTTAGGTGAACTAGGAATTTGTAGGATTTCTAAACTTAACATTAGAATGCTAAGCGATGTTTATGAGAGGAGTGTCTAGTATATTTTAGACACAAGCACTAGTTTATTTTAGAAAAGATGCCTAAAATGCTTTTATGTGCTATATGTTATTATTTGTTCGGATCTATGGTCTGTATGCCGATCGGATCTAGAAATGTTATATGTTTAGGATTCTAAACGTACGACTACGATATTAGAACTAGCATATAAATGTTTCAGAGAGATAAGGATGATTTAAATGTCTATCCTAAATAAAGATCTAAATTCACCTTATTCGGTGTATAGATCAAAATGACAAGAACCCACAGTGGAGCTGGGAACACGAATAGGAATAGGAATCAACCCCCAGTGATTCAATAAATACCTGTTGTAGTAGAAGTTGCACTCGCTTGGAGGCTTTTACGATGCATGTACCTGCTTGTATGCCCATCGTACTCACTGAATCATCTCCGACTTGATTTTCCCACTTAATCTATTAAGACAAAGCTCTAAAACATAGATCTGACCTTCTTAAGTTGGACCAACACATAAAGTTGCCAACTTTATGTCCATACATAGCTAAATGAAGCTCTTAAGCTAAAAAGGGACTTAATGGTTGACTTAATACATACATGACACCATAAAACACATAAAGCTTGCACCTTTATGTCCAATGATACCAAAATAAACTTAGATCTGAATGGACAAACCCATAAGCAAACTTACTCATCCACAAACCCAAGAAGAATACCAAAACCACAATAACTAGCCATGAAGAGATCTAATCACACATAAGTCAATATGCAAACTTGTTACCTCAAAAAGCTTCCCCCACAAGGTGATGATTTTGGATCCAAGGTCTTTCCACCAAGCCAAATAACTTCAAGTTTCTCTTCTTTCCTTAAAAATGGTAAAATACATACTAAACCTTCTAAGAGGTCAATAACACCATCAAAAGGCTTCAAGATTGATTTAGGATTTTGAGAGGGTGGAGGCTAACTTAGAAATGAAGAAAAAGGGATAACATTATGCTTATATAGGGTACAACCCTAAAAATTAGGGTTTTCAACCTGACCTCGTACGCCCAACGTACCTCCTCATACGCCCAAATGTATGAGACCTCGCACCTTGACCCAACCTCACACCTATGCTACCCGTCCATCCAGCTGCGCCTGTTGTAATCTCCCTCGCCTTGGTATTCCCTACGTACCACCTTGGTACGCTCCGCGTACTAGAGTTTTCCCCAAACCCTAAATCATCTGAAGACCATAACTTTCTCGATATAACTCTAATTTCGACCATCCTTATATTCATAAAAAGGTATTGAGATGATCTACACTATTATCAACTCATACTTACCATAAGATATCCCGAACGAACCTCCACTTTCCATAAAAGCCCAAGCTTAACAAATTACCAAAATGCCGTTTGATTCCAAAACACAAACTGAATACCCGAAACATCCGAATTACATTATCCAACTCCAACTGGGTCCAAAACTCAATTCCTCAAGGATCCGAATCCTTTCAATACCTAAACCCTGATCACCATCCCCAACATGGGAACAATTTGAAACAAGGCGTTACAAAATTGATACAAAATAGAATCATACACTGTTGTAAAGGAATCACATACAGACAACAGAATAATGGGGAATCACATATTGCATCTTAACACCATCATCACCATTACCATCTCCATTATTGACATATTCTCATTATCCTAAACCTAGTTGTTGACCTTCAAACGCCTTCCTTTCGTTCTCTTTCTCTATTCATCATCTTCAACCATTATCTCTATTACACCACCGACATCAGATACTTCATTTGATTCAGGAATAAAAGAAGGGAAGACATCAGAGTCTCGTTGACATATTTAATGGATTTTATTAGCTTATTTTATTTGGTCATGTATCGAACTCAATCATACACACATATACACAAACACGCACACACTTACACTCACTCACTCACTCACTCTCTCTCTCTCACACACACACACACACACATATATATATATATATATATATATATATATATATATTGTGACAACTGCTAAAAAATAAGCAAACAATCGTCAAACACAATCGCTATCAACACTAGTGTAATAAACCTAATATAACATATTCCAATCATTTTGATTCAAATAAAGTTATATACTTTGAGATGCATTCGAAATATCATTTAAATCTTCGATGTATGTAGATAGTTGATGAGCAAATATTTTTCCATTATACATAAGTAATGATGTAATACCTATAATTGAAATAAATATATGAATTAAGTATTATTATGCATAGATGATACACTAAACAAAGATTACACATAACTACAAAGCCATGAATATAAAAAAATGCCAAAATTTAACGTCATATGAAGAAGTTGTGATTTTTCGAAGTTGCGCGTTTGACACAGTACGTTAATATTTGTCGTAAAATATGAAACAAAAATATGTTAATCATTCGTCAAAGTAATGTAA